GTGGGGTGGGGCCATACCCGGAGGAGAGGGGTGCCATGGCTTTGAGGCTGTTGGGGTTGCGGATCATCTTGTCCAGCGTGTTGACAATCTGGCCGAACTTGGGCCGGTGGTTGCGGTCCTTCTGCCAGCAGTCCAGCATGAGCTGGTGCAAGGCGCTTGGGCAGTCCATGGGTGGTGGCAGCCGATAGTCCTGCTCTATGGCATTAATTACCTGGGGACAACACAGGGGCTGAGTGGGATTGGGTGGGTGGGTGAGAGCATCTGCCCTCTGGCCTGGCCTATCTTGCCTCCAGTGCATTGCAAAACAGACCCATTTGGTTGCCCTGGCAATCGCCTCCACCTCTTCCAGGCAGCCCCAAATGGGCCTCACCTAGGTTCTCACCAGGTACAGCCTCAGTCTGACCTGGCAGCTGGCTGCCTCCCTCCATACCCAGTCTTGGGAAATCCGGAACCCTGAGATAGCCTCTGTTTCGGGCTCCACCAGGCCGACCCTCCTGTGGGCCCCTCTGCCAGGTCCTCCCTCCCTCCCATCTCTGAGCCCCCCGCTGGCTTCGATGGCCCTGAGGACTCCGCTTTCTGGCCTTGACTCCTTGAATCCACACTCTTGATGTCAGTGCCATTTACAGCTCCAGGTGAGAGCTACCTCCCCTGTCAGGCCTTACTGCACAGCCTTGTAGCCCCTTCCCCTTGTCCCCATCTGGCTCCTCTGTCAGGGAAAGGACCTCAAATGCCCCTCTCCGATCTGTCCTGCCACCAGGGCCGGGCTCATCTTCCCCAACTTGACAGGGGGTGGGAGGGTGGGTCACCCTCTCTGCTCAAGAAGCTCCTTCAAGTCCTCCCTGTTTTGCATTGCTGCAAACCAAAATTCCTTGGGTTGACTTTCAAATACCCCATTATTGAACCTCACCAACCTTTCCAACCAGCTCTCCTCTCCACTGCTCCCCACCATGTCCCCTCATCATCCCACCTCTGGGCCTTTGCACAGGCTGTTCTTTCCACTGGAAGCCCTCACATCTCCAAGTCCCACTACTGTGTGAGCCCCCCCATCCTGTGAAGACTTCCCGGCTGACCTTGCCCGCCCTGCCCTTGCCTCAGCACCTTTGGAGCCTGACACCTGCCTTTTCCAATTTAGCACCTGATCATAAAAATTCCTGATAACTGTTCCCAGGTAATCATATTGTCCCCCACTTTGGTGGTAAACACCTGAGGGGCAGACATGGTCTCATTCAGGGTTGGCCACAAGGTGAATGCATCCTAAAGATTTGCTGATTTGTAGATGGTAGGCCTTTCCTACTCCTGACGCCCCGGGGAGTCCAGGGTCCTGTGTGGATGTTTGAATCAGCCAGCATTGCTCTGGTAGCTGCCCTTACCCAGGAGCTCAGAGACCTTGCTCCCGCTTTCTGGGAGATCAGCAAAAGGCCGGGAATTCTGGCTCTTCCCCTCCCCCACCAGAAGGACTCTCCCTTGGAGACTTACGTCCTGATTGGTCATGTCCCAGTAGGGCCGCTCCCCGTAGGACATCACCTCCCACATGACGATACCATAGCTCCACACGTCGCTGGCCGAGGTGAACTTCCGGTACTGAATGGCTTCTGGGGCCGTCCAGCGGATGGGGATCTTCCCGCCCTGTGGAAGGGAATGAGGAGGGTTGATGGGTGGGAGGCTGGCCGGTCTGGCCTCTGCTGTCAATACACCCTACCCTGTGCCCTGTGCTGTATCAGTTGCGTGACGCATCTTATCATTCCCCAAACTCACCACGCTGCTTCAGACCTCCGGGCATTTGCACATGCTGTTCCTTTTCCCACTCTGCCATCCGGAAACCTCCTTCCCATCCTGTAAATCCCTCTGAAAGTCTTTCCTTAAGTCCAGGGAGTTGCTCATTCTCCTTAATCCTACAACTGTGCCCCATATCTCTCCACCCATCGGGGAGGCACTTTTCACACAAAGCAGGACTCAGATCATGTGTTACATGCCTGGCTCTACTTGCACTATCTCCAAGCTCTTAGAGGGCAGGGATTGCATCCTATTCCTTTCTGTTTAAAACCCTTCAACAACCCTAACTGCTTCAGGAGACAGTCCTGAGCTTGGGCATTCAGGTTCTCCAAGACCTGGCCCTGCCTACCCTTCAGCGTTCTTGCTCACGACTTTTCCTCTCGCAGCCTGGATTCCAGTCACGCCTTTCTGTGAGAACATGGCATCTGACCAACTTATACTGGCCCTTCAGCTTTCAGCTCAGCTGTCACCCCTCTAGCAAGCCTTCCTCGGCCCTCTCACTCTGTTGCTCTGCACATGTGTTCCCGCCAGCCTGGAAGCTCCAAGAGTGCAGAAACCGTGGTGTATGTCTCTGTATCTCCAGGGCCCAGCACAGTGCTTGACACGAGCTGGTGTTGGTGAAAACGTATTGCAGGGAGAGATGGATGTTTATGCCCTCTTTCCCGGCACCGTAACTCCAGGGTTCCCTGGTTCTGTCTTACCAGGGCGCTGGTGTAGGTGGGGTCTGAGGTATCGTCCTCCAGAAAGCGTGAAAGCCCAAAGTCAGACACCTTGCAGACCAGGTTGCTGTTGACGAGGATATTGCGGGCGGCCAGGTCGCGGTGGACGTAGTTCATGTCTGCCAGGTACTTCATGCCGGCCGCGATGCCCCGTAGCATGCCCACCAGCTGGATGACTGTGAACTGCCCATCATTTTGCTTTGGGAGAATAGGAGAAAACACAGAGTAAATGGGAGGACATATGGCTCAGGCTGTGGATGATCTCACATGGGAAACCAGAGCAGGACCCTGCCACCCTGGCCTGGGCTCCCTGTGGGGAGGACTCAGATGTTTGGGGACGTTGGAGAGGCCCAGGAGAGGCCAGTTTCGGGGTGATGGGGGGAACGCAGGCTTTGCAGCAGACACAGCTGGCTTGACTCTGGCTCTGCCTCTTGCTAGCTGTGCAGCCTTGGACAAGTAACCTAATCTCTCTGAGTCTCGGTTTCCTCATCTGTGTGTTAGATGGGGATAAGTCACAGCCAACTCCCAGGGATGAGTTAAACAAGAAGGTGCATGGAAGGGGCCTGGCACATAATAGGTGCTTGAAAAATATTTGCTAAATGGCAGGCAGCTAGTCCAATGGCATGCTTCTGACTCCTGGTCAGTATCTTCGTCTGGCTGACTGATCTCTTGGGGGTCTGAAATTTTACTCTGTTTGCCCGCGCTCTGAACTCCTCCCCTGGCCTACAGAGCTTTGGAGGAATCTAAAATCTGGTGAAAAATCTGGACTAGGGGTCAAGACACCTGGTTCCAGTCCTGGCCCTCACCTTGACCTTCTGGGAGACTCTGGGCAAACTCTACCTCACTTTGAGCCTCAGTTTTCTCTTGTGTATGATGAGAAGGCTGGCTAAGAGCATGGATAGCAACCCATTCTAGGTTGTATGCCAACTCTGATCAACTGGTTGTGGTTTCCTGGATTGAGAGGGATTCTGAGATTGCTTCTGGGTGTGGTCGGACACCTCTGGGATTGATCAGCAAAGCCTGCCATGGGGAAGGGAATGGAAAGTGACAGCATGCAAGCCATTCCCGACTGAGCTCTTTTCAAAGACCCCTTCAGGCTCTGACGGTATGAAGCTATGCCCACCACTACTCCTGCCCCACCCATGGCCCCTGGCATGCTTGGCTTCCCCTACCCGGAGGAAGGAGTCCAGGGAGCCGTTCTCCATGAACTCAGTGATGATCATCACGGGCGTGCTCTTGGTGACAACACCTTCCAGGTGGATGACGTTGGGGTGGTCAAACTGGCCCATGATGGAGGCCTCGCTCAGGAAGTCCCGGCGTTGCTTCTCAGTATAGCCCGACTTGAGCGTCTTGATGGCTACAAAGATCTCTCTCTTGCCTGGCAGTTTCAGGTGGCCGCTGCACACTTCACCAAACTCCCCTAGGACAGACACACCGAGAGAGGCAGGATGTCACTTGCCAGGTGGAAGTGCTATCTCCCTGTTCCTTGTAATCTCTACGCCTGGGGCCTGCGGGAGTTTTTTCTCCTCAATGGCCAACTCATCCTCTGGGACACAGAACTCCTTTGTAGAATGTGGGGGCCCCCAAATGTCCCAGCCACCTTTGGGAGTAAGAGTAAACTCTTCATGGCTGTCCTGTGGTATTTGGCTGGGAGTGGGGTGAGGGTGTAGGAGAACCTGGGAGAGATGGAAGGAGGGACATGGGATGAATGGTGGGAAGGACAAAGCACTGGACTGAGTCCAGAGACCTGGGTTCCAGACCTAGCTGAATCTCTGACATTATTACGTAAGCTCCTTCCCAGCCCTGTGCTTCCGTGTCCTCACCTGTTGATGAGGTGGTTTTACTAAATGACCTTTGAGGGCCCTTCTACCTTGTACATGCTGAGCTTTCAGGCCTTGGAGGGTCCTCTGAGGCTCCTGCCCCACCTTCTACCCTCTGTCCCAGGAGTATATATTGGGGTAGTCTCCCCACCCATGGCTGAGGCCATGGTGCCTGGGAGGGCACCAGCCACCTACCTGCTCCGATCACCTGCTCAATTTTGACACAAGAGATGTCAATTTCCTTGGCAAACTCCCGCACTGCCTCATTGGGGTCCTCGTAGGTGAAAGGGTCGATGTAGATCTTCATGCCTGGGGTCACTGGGGGACAAGACCAGGCTTGGTCACATGCACAGACTCAAGATGTGGACAAATGGAAAGGCGAGAGCCAGTCCGTCCGTGGAGGGCAATACACTCCCATGTGCCCCCCTCCCCCCAAGAACTGGGCAAGCCCCTGTGGGTCACTTGACCTCGCTGGGCCTCAGTGAGCAGATGGGCACTGAGCTCAGCAGAAGGGCGAGGGGAACAGAGAGTTCAGCAGGGAGAGCAAATAGGTTCTAGCTCTTGTTCCAACTCTAATTGATTAGTAATGGCTTCCTGGAGCAGCTAACAGACTGTCAGGATTGATTAGCAATGTCTGTTATGAGTGTGGGCATAAAAGGATACAAGGATAGGTAGGTTTGTCATTCTTGTGATAGAGAATCAGGGGTCCAAAGTAAAGGAAGAGGAAGTCAACAAAGAAGGGAAAGAACTGGAACAAAAATATAGAAAGAACAGGCAATAGACCATGTTCTTGGGCTTCTGCCAAGGAGGTCTCCCTGTCTTTCAAGGCCTATTCCAAGCCTCCTCCTTCCTCAGGCGATTTTCTGGCTGCCTCAGGCCTGCCTGGCAGGCCTCAGAGCCTAGGGGACTGTCTCGCCAGGATCTGAGTACCCATGGCTCCCGGGTCCACCTCTGGGTCCTCCACTAGCCAAGTCATAAACTTTTCTGGATCTCAAATTCCCTGGTGAGCAGCGTGAGGCTGGACATGGACATTAATTTGATTCCTGATCTGATGTGGATTTTTTTTTTTGATGCAGAAAGGAAGGAGGTAACTAGGATGTCAAACACCCAGTTCCGACCCCAGCACTGAGTCAGCAAAAGCTTAAGGAAGGGTAAGATGATCTACCTCATGTCACCCCTTCCAGATTCCTGGTCTTATGCCATCCAGACTACCTGGCCCCCTCCCAGCCCAGGCCTCCCTCTCGCTTCCCCAGCTCCCTGCCCACTTTCCCATAGCTCTGGGAGCCATGACTTTGGAGGCAGCAGCTCTCGGAGTTGGGAGTTGGAGTCCCGGGGCCACAGGAAGGCTTAGCTGGTTGGCGAGTGGGGCCATGAACTCTGCTTGGCTGCAAAACCTTGGTCATGTTAGTTGACCGACCTCTCTCAGCCTCTGTTTCAGACATTCCAGGAATCTAGGAGTTGGAACCTCTAACACAGGAGCTGGCTAACTGGCCCACTGCCTGTTTTGTAGTCAAGTTTTGTAAATAAAGTTTTATTTGAACACAGCCCCATGCATTCCTTTGCCTGTGACTGCCTTCACGCTGTTGAGTAGTTCCAACAGAAATAGTATGGCCCACATAATGTAAAGTACTTACTACCGAGCCCTTTACAGAAACGTTTGCCAACCACAGCTCTAACACGTTATTTGTGTGGGTGCCCATCTAGTCCTTTAGGTCAGGGTTAATATGAGCCTGTGAACTGCCTGGCAGTCCCAGGGTGGGTGTGGGGGTGGGACAGGGATTGGAGTCTGGTAATCTCCTGAAATAAAATGCATTTATGATCATCACCTTTTTAAATTGGAAAAGTAATTCATGCTACTTATAGCCTGAAAGTTCTGAAAATAAATATTGTTGAAAGTAAAAGTTCTCTAAAACCTATCCCTGAGTATAATAGATGTTTCTATCTTATACTTTTATATAAACACAAAGACATATTTTGGTTTCTCTGGCCACAGGATTCAGAGCTTTTAACAGCCTCAGAGGAGACGAGACCCCCAAGAGATTAAGAACCACCATCCTAGACTGTGGGACCCTGGGAGGAGGGGGTGGGCATGTGACCTTTTCTCATTCCTCCCTCCCCTGGCACACTGCATAACGCTCTGTGTACAGTAGACACTCAATGTCTGTAAAGCTGAGCAGAACCCAGATGACAGAGATAGAAGAATAGAAGCTGCCACTTACTGAGCCCTTTGTGCCCAACCCGGTGCCAGGCTCTTGATATGCATAATCTCATCTCCTCTGCCCGACAACTCTTGGAGGCAGGGATCATTATTCTCATTTCATGCACAAGGAAACCACAGCTCAGAGAGGCAAGTCATCTGCCCAAGGCCACATCGCTAGCAAATGGCACTGCCAGGATTTGAACCCAGGTCTGTCAGACTTGAGCCAAGGGCCAGTACTCTCAGTCATCATGCCCAGCCTTCTGGATGAAATCTAACCAGATCTGGTCCATGCCTCCTCCTCCTGCAGTATTCAGTCACGACTCCTTCCCCAAGTCAGCCCTCCTTAGACTGGGGGCTGCAGCTCCCCAGAGATGCCTCCTTTCTTGCTCAGATTCAGTGCCTGGCCTGTGGGACTTAGGGGCTGACTTTTAGCCTTCCTTTCAATAGAACTAGGGGAAGTCTTTTCTGCCAGGCCAGCAGGGCAGGGAGGACAGGAGCACTTTCATACCTATGAATTTATTTAATCCTCATAAGTCTGTGAAAGAAGTATCATTCCTGCTGCTTCCCATATAAAGATGCCAAGGCCCAGGGAGGTTCGATGACTTCCCCAAGGTCATCTAGCTGGCCAGTGGCAGAGTAGGAATGAGAAACCAGCTCCTTCCCTCTGGCTCTATATCCAGGCACCACAGACCTTGGTACTCATTCAGCACCTGCTGCATGATGGAAAACATGAATGAGCCCGTGAGGGTGACATTGAGCCGGTCCCAAACGTCTCCAGGCCTCAGCTTCCTCCTCTGTCCTGACCACACGGGGTTGCTGGTGGATATGGGATTATAGGGCTGGCAGTGCTTTTTAAAAAAATGGAGTCCTGCTGAGACACAGGGAATAAGAGGTTGAGCTTTTAGCATGTGTTGCTCTATGAACAAATCCTGGGGTCTATTTTTAAAATAAGTCCCTGCTGTCACCTGTTTCCTTGTTACTGACTCACGCTCTGAATAGTGATGGTCCCAAATGATGCCAGGTGACAGCGTGTGCCCGTCTTTCTTAGTCTAGTTCAGTCGGGTGCAGACAGCATCTCTGTGTGGCTAAGAGTATGTGCTCTGGAGCCAGACACCCTGGGTTTGTACCCCAGCTCCTGTCCTGAGCAGCTGTGTAGCCTCTTTGTGTCTGTTTCCTCATACTCACAAAGTGGGAAGTTATAAGGATTCAATGAATAAATACATGCAAGGCGTTAAAACAATTCTGGGCACATAGAACACACTCAATATGTTTAGCTACATCTGTGATTATGATTTAATTCCTTGGGGACTAGGAGGGCGTGATGTCATTTATGACTCTTATTTTTAATGCACAGGTGATTTTTATTTCTGTGTAGTTACATTCGTCTGCCTTTTTCTTGTGATCTTGCATCGTTTTTTATTCTTAGCAAGTCCTTTCCCTCCCACATATCAGTTAAACAGTTACCTAAATTGTCTTCTGGAAATTTTAATGGTTTAATCATTTTTACATTTATGTCTAAAATGATTGTGAAGCCCAGGAACTTTTACTTCAAATTGAATTATACCCAGAGGCTTAATATCTAGAATTCCTGGACTCGACTTGTGCTTGCACACCCCACATCCAGTCATGCAGCAAATCCTACCCCCTTGCTCTGTTCCAGCCACACTGGCCTCTTGGCTGTTCCTGAAACCTGCCAGGCACGCTCCAGCCTCGGGGCCTTTGCACTGGCTGTTCCTTCTGGCCTGAGATGCTCTTCCCCTCAGGTACTGCTACAGAAATCACTCCCCTAGCTCCTTCGTGTCTTTGTTCAGTAAGGCCAACCCCAACTACCCTATTTAAAAACGCAGCCCTGATCCCGCAACTCTCAGTCTATCACCTTGTTCTACTCCGCCTTTTTTTCCATAGCACTTCTATCTCTTAATATACCATATGCTTTACTCATTTATTACATGCGATTTTTAAAAATTCTCTGTCCCTCCCACTAGGATATAAGTGCCACAAGAGCAGGGATATTTGGTTTGTTTACTTGTGTGTCCCCAGTACCTATAACAGTACCTGACATTAATAATAGGCCACAACAAATATATGACAAATGAAGGGATATGCTGATGGCCCCCCCTTACCCAGTTGCTGTCTGCGGGGCTTTAGGGTACCCCACTGAGTGAGCACAGTTTGAGAACCTAGATTGGACCCACTAGGCATTCCTGTTTGCTGAGTGAGCTGAGGTGAGGACTAAGGTTCTCGCCACCCCGACTCACCCCCCATAGATTGTCGGTTCAGCCAGGGGCAGAAAGAAAGAAATCGATGCTTTGCTTTTCTCTCTGCTGGGCCCTTCAGGAGGGGGACATCTGCTCTGGGTGTGGCAAATGGGCCCCCAGCCCTGGCCTAAGGTAGATTGGGACAGTGGGGGAAATGGAGGCACTGGTTGGGGGAAAGTGGCCACCAGAGGAGTCGCCAAGAAGGAAAGACAGGGGGCCGCCCACCTCCCTTCTCTCTCACCTCCCGGGCCAGAGCCTGGGGTCCTCGTCATCTCATGCGGCTCATGTATTTATCCTACAAATATGTTTCTAGCGCCTGCGATGTGTGGGCAGTGTGCTGGGGCTGGGGAGGCAGTGGCGAGTGCCAGGCATGATTTCAGTTCCCCAGGCGCTTCCATTACAATGTTGGAGCGACAAGGGAAGGGCCTTCCCAGTGCAGCCAGGTAAGGGGGCGCTACACAAGCACAGAGGGGGCCCTAAGTTCAAGGTGGGCTGGGGGTTAGGGAGGGTTTCTCGGAGGGGTTTGTGTATGCTGAGGCCTAAGGGAGCATAAGAGTTACACAGGTGAAGAGAAGCGGGGAGAGTACTCCGGGCAGAGGGCACAGCGCGTGCAAAGGCCAAGAGGTGAGAGTGAGCTGCTGGGCACGTTCAGGGAACAGCCTGACATTCAGCCTCACTGAAGCCGCGTAGGAGGCAATGGAAGAAGGCTAGAGAAGGTGCCAGGGAACTGCCAGTGAAGGGCCCAAGGGTGCCGGCCCCACTGGGATATACATACTGTGGCCGCTGGTGTAGTGCTGCAGCTTGTCCGTGTACTCCGAGTCAGCGCGCTCAAACCCCCGTCTTCTGGAACAAGAGCAAAGGGCTGGAGCCACCTGGAGGCACCCGGGGAGCTGGGAGCCATAGCAGGTGGTAGGGAGAGGGTGGGCAGGCCCTTGCAACCACACCCCTGCCAGAGGCCTCCCTGCCTGCCCCTGGCCTGGAGCCTCACCCTTCTTGGCCCCACCCATCCCTTCCCACCTCTCCCACTTCAAGTCCAGGCTCACTATTTCCCTGTCCTCTCTCCAGCCAAGACCCTTTCAAAGAGCAAAGTCATCTCCTCTGGCCATGGCCCCTGGCCCCCAGAAGCCCCAGGGGCTTTTGCCCATCTGACCTTACAGTTCAGTCTGTTATAAAGTGGGGAAGTCTTTAAGGAAGAGGACAGTCTTTTTTTGCCTTATGCCCAGCAGAAGTCAGGGAACCGGGCCCACCTCCTGCCTTTGCACATGCTGTGCCGGCCACTAGGGGTGCCCTTTCCCCCACCTCCTCCTGTCTGCGTCCTCTCCTTTCCGGCTACCTCAGCCAGGGGGCCTTCCCTGAGCTTCTCAGCCTCCCATCTGACACTCTGCTCATGGCCCTGTTCATGACGGGGCCTCAAGTAGTGCAGGAGAAAGTGGGGCAATCTGTATTCCCTCCCCACCGTCCCCTTAGCTCCCAGCATCCTGCAGTCCTCCTGCCCGCTGTTCTGAGACTTTCCTCATGCTGAAGTATTAGTATCTCAATGTGCCACCTCCCTGAATAGTGGACTGGTCAAGGGCAACACCTAACCCAAAGGGATGGACTGCAAATGGTGGCCGTTTAGGTGGTAGGAGGCCATGTGAGGGTACCCAGACCAACCCAAGCCTCTCCCTGTCCCTGGTACTGATGGGAACGCTTCCTCTGTTCACACTGTTCAGGAATGGCTGACTGGATGCACAGCCAGGTCCAGAGGGGCCGGGGGACACCCACCCACCTGTTACACACGATAATGATGACAACCACGGCAATGAGGAAGACCAGGCCAGCCGCCGAGGAGCCGATGATGAGTGGCAGCTTCTCCTGGATGCTTGTCTGGTACTCGGCTGGGGAGAAAGCACAGCACAGTGTTCTCGGCTGGTTCCGGAAGCCCTACCACTTCCTACCACGCAGGCTCTCCTGGGATCTCCAGGCTCTGTTCCCACCCCTGTCCGATGCTCAGGTGGAGAACTGGCTGTCACTCACTCACAAGTAACCTTGGACAAGTCCATGAACTGCTCTAACCCTCAATTTCTCATCTATAAAATGGGCACAATACCTGAATCTCAATGTTGATATGAAAATCCACAATAATAATCAACTGACACATGGAGAAGCACAGACTCTGAGGCCAGACTCCCTGGGTTTGAGTCCCGATCATGGCACTTACTATCTGTGTGATCTCTGGCCAAGTGACTTACCTCTCTGTGTGGCCCAGTTTCCTCATCTGGGGAGAATCATAGTTCCCATCTTACAGGATTGTTGTGTAAAGCACGTAGAACACGTGGCAGTAGGAAGCTACTCAGTGAATATTAATTATTATTGTTATTGAGTGTTTTAAGTGTTGGTCCCTGTGCTAAGGATGTTGTGCATCTTGCTTGATTCTCAGAACAGCCCTGTGATGCACTGCCTATGATCACCCCATTTTACAGATGAGGAAACTGAGGCTCAGCGAGGTCATGACTTGCTTCAGTTTAAACAGTTAGAAAGTGGCCAAAGCCAGCACTTGAACCCAGGTCTGTTTGACCTAAGGTCATGGGCTTAAATGAGACAACGCATAAATACACTCTGCATTGCCCTGGCTTAGAAAACACTATGTACATTCTCAGCGCTATCAACACCATCATCATTTTAAATTTTGTTATTAATTCTCATTTGCTTCCATGACCAGGCAGGAGCTTGTCGAAGTCAGGGACTGGGTGAGTTCTGGGTCCTTAGCGCTAGCACACATTTGTTGAATTAATAAAGAAAGGATCTTGGGACACTGCCCCAGCCCCATGTCAGTAACACTCATCCAACAGGCAAGAGGGCTTAGAGAGGTGAAAAACACTGGCTGTGAGGAAGAGGGAGTTTATAGAGGAGGAAGTGTTAGAAGAGATAGTGAAGCTGTGAGGGAGGATTATTGCGATAAGACAAGAATTCATGGGTCCAGGAGCCTCTGAAATGTTCAGCCAGGCCAAGACCAAGCCCTGGAGAAGCAGATGCAGGAGCCTGGTCATAAGTTAAGCTGTTCTGGAGCTTGGCTGGTTGGTGCAAGGGCCTCTAGACTCACACAATTGACAGCTATGACGTTAACTGCTATTGGGTGAGCACTGACCACGTGTGAGACCTAGCTCCAACCCTGTGCTAGGTCCTGTACATTTATCCCCCGTCTTTACACTAGTTTGATGATGATGATGATGATGATAGTTGTTATCATCCCCATTTATAGATGGCAAAACTGAGGCTCAGAGAGGTAAGGTGAGTTGCTCAGGGCCATACAGTTAGGGCTGAATCACCACTGTAATGTCCACCTGTCAGGCTCATAGCCCACACTCTTTAACTATGCTGCCCCTCAAAGATTATTAGAGAAGAAAGGGTGCTTTGAGACCACGTGGTCCCAGACTGGGAGACACACAGGACACGGGCTGTAACCTCCCATTCTCTTGCCCAGGATAGACATTACTAATCCATCCCAGCACTTCTTCCTGCTGAACTCAGGTGTGGCTTCAGAGTTCTTCTCAATCTTACTGTAAGTCATTGGAGTAGTGCATGGATAAAATAAGTTTGCTCTCAGAAGGAATACGGTGCTTTCATTTTATAGAGGAGAAGATTTTGGACCCAGGAATAGGGAAGACTTGTTCAGAGTGGTGCTGTAAGTTAGGGCTGAGCTCCCAGGAGTCCTGGGAAAGGAAGTGGCCTGGCGGACATGATGGTAACGGAGGAGTCCATAGTCTTCCCAGGCCACAGATACAGTGCCTCTCCATGTGGCTGTGCAGTTCGTACAGTGCACAAAGGTTGCCAATCAGGAGGGGAGGAGGGTTCACATCTAGAAGAAGGGGTGCCTTTTCTCATTTGCACAAAGGCACTTTGCAGGAATGGTGGCCCTTGAATTTGTTCTGCTTGTGGAGTTAGGGCCCTCCTCCTGCCCTCTGGACACTGCTTACCTTCTGTCATGGTCTGGAAGTACATCTTGCCGCTGTAGCGCCCGTAGCCTGCCACGGTGCGTGCCCGCACCTGGAAGACATAGATGGCGCCGGCTTTGAGGCCCTGCACAGTGACCGTGTTGGTGGGGCTTTTTATGGCTGTGGCGTTGTACTCACTGAGCTCCTGCCGAGGAACAGAGAAGGCAGTTAGGGAGGTTGTTGCCCACAGTGGGCCCAAGGCCCACTGACCGCTCCTGCCACTTGGGCGGGTCAGGCCACCCAGATGAATTTCTGTGGTTCCCAATTCTTCACTCCGCCCTCCCCATAACAGAATCTCACACCCGCACCTTTGGCAACACTTCCCTCAAAAGAAGGCAGAGTATATTTCTCTTCCTCAGCAATGCTGAATTTGTACATGTGACTTGCTTTGGCCATTGGAATATTCTAGAGGACATGATGCAAGCAGAGGCTTTACACGTGCTTGTTGACTTGGCTTGGCATTTTGTGATTCTGCCCTCAGCCATGAGTGAGGCTTAACCTGGGTAAGAGCTAGCTAATCCCAGAATAAGAAACATGTGGACAAGACCTTGACCTAATTCCTACAATGAAACATGGCTACCTCAGTTGACCCACAGACACAAACCTGAGGAAGAGCAATGGCCACTTGTTGTAGGTCATTGGATTTTGGGGATTGTTTGTTTCACACCATCATCTCAACAACAGCTGACTAATACACATATATACTGAGTGATCACTGTATGCAGACCCTGAGGTCTAGACTGTGAGTTCTCGGCGACGGCAGGGACAGGGCCCACCTTGCTCACTTCTGCATCTCCCTTCCTGCCCCACGCCTTGATGGGTTAAGTAGAAAGATCCCTGTTCAGCCTCAGCACACTTGAGTCAGGGAAGAATTAAGGCCCAGAAAGGGAAAATGATGCTCAAGTTTACATCTATCAATTGATGGCTGCTTTGGGACTCAAAACCATGCAGGAACCACCCCTTGTGTCCATGCCTTTGGGTACCCAGGACCTAATGTTCCCTCCTTTAAATGACGCAGAACGCCAATTCTGACCTCCTAAGCACTGCCCAGGGTGATCCGAGGAGTCTGGGATGGCCACAGAGCCAGCTGCTGCACTGGGAATGGAGATGTTTACGTTGGACACAGATGTTCACCAGCCTAGTTGCTGCTTGTTTGGGCATCCGTCAGCTGCCCAGCAAACCTTCCCCAGATACACTCTTTGCACTAGGCCCTGAGCTGGGCACTGGGGACCCACAGAGGTTAAGGCACAGGCCCTGGCCTTGGAGAGCTCAGTTCAGAAAAGCAAACAGTGTAGAGATCTTGACCCTTTGAGGATCATGAACCCCTTTGTGAAGCTGATGAAAAGCTATGACTCTTAGAGAAATGCATCCCGATTGTACACGCCAATCATGTACGTCAGGTATGCACGGAGCCCTTGAAAACTCCCGGAAACAATTAAGTTCAGTGTGAGCGATGTTATTACAGATAATTGTAACTACAATGTTACTATGTAATTGGACAACTACATTGCAATAATGTAATTACAATGTTGTTATAGTGTAGCAGGTAAGATCACCAACTGGAGCCAGACTTCCTGGGTTCAAATCCTCTACTACTTGTTAACTTCATGACCTTGGGCAAGTTCCTTAACTTCTCTATGCCTCCTTTTCTTCATCTGTAAAGTGGGGATAATAATAATAGCTACCTTAACAGGTGTTTAGAGGATAAAAATGAACAAATAGAAGTCACCCAGGCAAAGAAGGGGGAAGGCATTCCTGGCAAGGCTCAGCCATCAAAGGCCAGGATATGAGAGACAGCTTGGGCTATGGGGGCCAGAGAAGAGGCTGACCTGCGAGTCCCTCACCCACTTTCTTCATACCAGGAGGCAGCAGAGATGGGAAGTCTCTTCCTGAGCCAGGTCACTGGCCTCCTCCTCCAGGAAGCCTCCAGCCAGATGGGCTTCCCTTTCTCTGAGCCCTGGAGCACTTGCTGTGGGTACCGTAGGAGTGGTGTTCCATTACATCCCCTTGCCCTGGGGCCAGGTTTGACTCACTCCCTTGACTGTAAACGGAGGGACAGGGCTGTGTTTTGCTCCCCTGTACCGAGCACAGGGTCTAATAGCAGAGGCCTTCCCTAAGGCCCACAAGGTGAAGGCTGTACCCCTGTGCTCCGTAGCCTGGCATCCCAGACCCTTCGAGACCCACCCTTTGTCGGTCTCTCCAGCCATAGCCCCAGTGTCCTCTAGGTTCCAGCCATACACAACTGCTCCCCCTTTCCCTGGTAGGGCTATCAGATTTAGCAAATGGAAGTATAGGATGCTCAGTTAAGTTTACATTTCAGAGAAATAAGTTTTAGTATAAGTATTTCCCATGTAAGCTTTGATAAATACTTATACTAGAAAATATTTTTAAAAATTCAAATGTAACACTCGTGTCCTAGATTGTATTTGGCAACTTTACCTTCTCAAGACCCTCTAAGCCTTTGCACATGCTGTGGGCCCATCTGAAATATCCTTTCCTGGCAGTTCCCTACTCATCGTTCAAGACTCAGCACCGTTCCGCCTCTGCTGGGGAGACTTCCCAGATGTCCCAGCCAGAGGTTGCAGGTCCATTGTTTACTCTCCCACCTATTGTTCTGATATACATGTGTGTCTTCTGTAAGGACTGTGAGTTCCCTGATGGCAGGGACCTGGTTTCATTCATCTCAGGGACCCCCCAGGCTTGGCACAGAGTAGGTGCTCACTAGCTACTGACAAATGAATGAACATTAGACTTCAAAAATCTATGATGTAGAGGCCTGACCACCGCATTGTATTTCTGAAACTGATGTTGAATAATACTGTATGTCAACTATAATTATATATACATATAACCTCGGGACATGGAGTAGAGTGCGGGAACGGATTCAATGGAATTGTAATAGATAAGCATGATATCGGGGGTGGGAGGGCAATAGATGGGGGGAGGAGGGTTGTTACTTTGTGAGGGTGAAAAGGGTAACTATTGCATTGTTTTGTACACCTGAAACTAACAATAAAAAAAAATAAAAATCTATGAACCCTGGATGCAGTACCAGGCATGGCCACTATGTGTCGCTGTCCAACATGGGATCTGCTTGGCTGGCTGGGTGCCCACTTAGGCTGGAAGTCTGAAGTTCCTGATTACCCGAGGGAGATGGGAGGTAACTGCCAGTGTCATAGGTGCCTCAGGAGAATGAAGAACCAACCTGAGTGGATCCCTTTTCTAAAGTGGGGCACAGGACCAAGCAGAGGATTGGAAGTCATTTCAAATGCCAGTTCTTGCACTTGCTTGCATTATGACCTTGCAAAAGACCCTTCATTTTTCTGAGCCCTGTTTTCTACTCCAGAAAATGGAACAATAAATGCCAACTGCTCAAGGTTGTTGTGAAGATAAAATTTGACCAGGTAGTGCCTGGCTGGCACAAAGGAACAGCTCTAGAGCCATCAATTCCCTTTTCTCTAACCTCCCCCTCCACCCCTAGAGTACCCTTATCTGAATAAGGATTAAGCATCAATGTGTTAGGGCAAGACATTTAGTACGAAATCCACTAGTCCTTAATTTCAGTCCTTATCCAGAAACTAAGGGCCAATAAGGCACTGGGTGCATTTAAGTCCTGTGAGCTTCAGTTTTCTCATCTCTAAAGTGGGCTAATACCACTATGGACCACCCACGGTGTTTGTGGAGATTCAGTAGGAAAAAAAGGGTAAAGCCTTTAGTATCATCTGTATCCCACGCACCAGGACTTATACATGTCGGCTCTCACCATCATTGTTCTCATCACCAACGTTCATTAAATGGATGAATGAATGCACAAGTGAACGGATGAGTGAAGAACCCTCTCCATGTAGACACTGCTCCGTGTACCCTGGGCGACAACCAGAATGCAGCCTGGATTTTCGTTCACCCCCATTCCTCCCCCAACCTTTGCTCTCTCTGCCTGAAATGTCCTTTCTCTTTGCTTCTGCCCAGTAGAAATTTCTGTTGAATAAACACATAAATCGATGTGGCCTACTAGGGCCCATATGCCACAGGTGGCCTCACAAACGACTCTTCTCCTCAAGCTCTCAGAGAGCCAACGGGAGCATGAACCCATGTGCTTTGGGGCAACTGCCAAAAGGAGGCCGCCTCCCCCAGGATGCTGAAGCTGATGGAAAAGGCCAGCCCTAGGCTGGCTAACACCATTCGTCAGAGGCCCCCAGAAGACCTCCAGCAAAGTGGTTGTCAGCTCTGGGCTCCGGGCAGGCTGGGAAATCCCAGTGAAGCGGGGGAGAGGCCAAACCGAGAATCTGCTCCAAAAGAGCCCTTTCTCAAGAAGGAAAGGGACGGGGAGGAAAGGAGGTGGGGGCGGGGCGCACCCAGGCCTGCAGGGCCCAGTCTGTAACTTAACTACCTGGGAAGACCTGGAGCCTTCATTAAAGAATCAATTGAAGGCACCAGGGGATTCCACAGTGTCAGGTAAGAGAGGGCTGTGGACTTGTCAGAAATAACGCTCACCACTCACAGCCTCCCCAGGGGCGGGGCTGACCCGGAAGGTAGAGGGGGTGGCTGGGATGTCACAGGCTTGCCTGAGAGGTCAGGGACAGAAAGGGCTCCAGGCTCTCCTCCTACCCCTCTGAGGGCGTCTCCTGCGACACTCACCAACTCCTTGTTGTTTCTCTCCTTAAGTCTTGCCATTCTCCTGGATTCTATCCTTCCACTTCTGTTTTTCCTCGGCACGCTCTCATCTGTTCTTGGCTACACCTCCCTGCCCCCGGCAATCACCACACCTACACCTACAAATCACAAACCCACATCTGCCCCAGAAAAAGGCACCACCATCTACCAGGAGTCATCCATCACACTTCTCTGGTCTCCTGAATTTCAAAATATTGTCTGAATCTGCCAGTTTCTCACCATCTCTATTGCCAGTCCACCACTCTATGCCACCATCATTTCTCACTTGGTGTCCCATGAGAACCCTGCACAGGTTCTGCCTGTGTCCCCAGGACCCACCCCCCTCTTGTAGTCTTTTCTCCACATAGCAAGCTATAGAAATCTTTAAAGTAATCTGAATCAGATCACATCCTTCCAGAACCTTCTGATGGCTCCCATACTTTAAATTGAATCCAGACTCCAAAGGCCTGGAAGACCCACTACAATTGGCCCTGCCTCCCTCTCCAAACTCTTCCCCTACTGATTTCTCCCTTGTTCATGTTGCTCCTGCCACACTCACCTTCTCTGTTTCCTGAGTGCCGCCAGCACATTCCTGCCCCAGGGCCTTTGCACATGCTGTTCTTGCCACCTAGAATGACCCTGCTCTCATCACTCGTCTGTCTGGTGAACTCCTAGCATCTTTCAAGGCTCAGCTCTAATGTCACCCGAAGACGACATCCTCTCACCCATGCTAGGATTATGGGCCCCTCCTTGGTGTCACTATGGGACCTTTGCTGGCCCTTCTGTGGCTAGTATTACAACTTGTCTAATGGCTATTTGTGTCTGAACCTGTCTTTTTTCCTGAACTGTGAAGCGAAGGCCACCAGGCGTGTCTGGTTACTCTTGGTATTCCCAGTACCCAGCTCAGGGCCCAGTCCAAAGTTAATGACAGCAAATGCTGAACGAACCAATGTCCACCTCCCCATTGGCAAACGCCAAGCTGCCTCTCTCTGCACCCCAGGCTCTGGGAGGAGGGGTTGATAGAAGCAGGGCCACATCTCATCACAGCCATACCTCAGGCCTGCTCTTCTCTCGCCATTTATGCCTAAAATCCTCCATCAGATCCTGGTCCTATCCACCTCTTAAAGGTTATCCCTGAGGCATCCCCGGGGGGAAACAAGGAGGCGGGAGAGCCAGGTGAAGAGGAGAGTACAGGCCCAAATCCTTGCTCTGCCACTTAGCAGATGATTGCTCTTGGACAAGTTACACAACTTCTCTGTGCTTCAGTTTCCCCTTCTGTCCAATGGGGTGATGGGCAACGCTGTGAGGATGAATGAGACAATGGAAGTGATGTGCTTAGCACACAGTGAGCGCTCATGAAATGTGAGTAGGTGGCAACCGTGGCTGCTGCAGGGCCTGCTATCCCCATCATGGCCTGGGGATGCCCAGGCAGTGGCAGAAAGTAGGGCAGAGCTGTCTCCTGGTTCACACCTCCATCAGCCGCCCCAGCCCCTCCCTTCTGGGTAGGAAATGGGACGTGAACAGGACACTCGCTGGGATTCCTCATTTCCGCTCCTGTCTCTGGGGACAAACACTTTCAGTTTCATTTAATCATAAGGCTTCTTAATTAGTTTTTTTCCCCCTTTTTGAATTCTGAGTTGTTAAGCTGTTCCTGCCAGAGGGGGTGGACATGTTGACTCCTGTAGGGCCTGGGGCTTCCTGGGCCTGGGAGCAGCTGGCCTGGCTACCTGGGATGCCCAGAGCCATGTTCCTCACGTCATCCCAGCTCAGGCTATCCAACAATACCTCTTGAGCACCTACTGTGTGCCAGGTTGGGGACACAGCAAAGATAAGGCCAGGTCTCCACCTTTGAAGAACAGGCCACAGGAAGGGATTTATCACTTCTTCATTCAACCAATGCTTACTAAGTGTCTCCTTGATGCCAGGCACTGGGTGCTGGGGAGGTGGTGAAAGGGGTCGATGTGGTCCCTGGCCTCTTGGAATGCATTGCCAACAGGACAGGATGAGCAAGAAAACACAGTCATAAACTAGCTGGGTGAGGCTGGAGAAGTATTTGATGAACCGCTCAGACTCGCCAGAGTTTGGCTGATCCATCGTTTAATAGAGTGGGAGGGCTGGGCTGGGCCTCTGAAGGCGGGGCTCCAGTAGGGCTGGCTGGAGCTGTCTCCACCTCTCTTCCTCTCAGTCTTTGGGGAGAGCCTTCCCACCCATTTCTGGTTCCCAGTGGGCTTGGCCTCAACTAAAGCACTTCACATAGTCATTTACACCTTAGTCTGAATGGGTGGCCAGCAAACCTTTTCCTGCAGCCTCTGTGGCTGTTTGTGCCTCAGGGAGCCGGTAAGAAAGGCTCCCAGTCAAAACAGGGAGTTTCTTGGGCCTCTGATGTCCAGCTGCTCTGTCCACTCCTGGGTCCTGTACTTTACAGGCCCCATATTCAGGTGTGCTGAGCTCACCTGGCCATACATCGTGTAGCCCTTGCACACCACGCAGCAGGATGGGCGGAAGAGGAAGGAAGGGAAAGCACATTCATCCCTGCTGAGGGCCAGGTCCCGTTCTGGGCACTAGACCTGCTTTTGACCCACACAGCCCCCATGTGAGAGGTGATCTCATTTGCCATTGATACAGGAAGACATTGAAGCTCAGAGACAGAAAGATGCCTGCCCAAGGTCACACAGCTGGTTATGGATGGAGCTGAGATTTGAACCTATGGCTTCTCACTCCTAGTCCAATGCTCTTTCTACTATACAAGTAGCCTCCAACCCTGGGTCCCTGGTTCCATAGAGGTCCCTGAAGGGAGTCTTAAGGGTCTGATTTAAAAGCTCAAAGAAAAACCACTGTCTCCCCATACAAAGGGCATTCAGGCCAACGAAAACAAGTGTTTTAGCTGGAATCAGGAGGATCTGGGAGGAAGCGCCACTCTCTCACCCTGGACAGTTTCAAATCTGTTTTAGAATGGGTGAATGACTAATTATTGCTTAATAAGTGCCACTTTTTGGAAAACCAGTTCATTCAGAACATCAGGTCCACTGAAGTCAAGATGAAGGGGTCTTGGTGGGGGACGAACTGTGAGCACTGCATTTTACTGACATTGCTGGCTGGATCCCCTGGACCAGAAAAGTGAGGCTCCGAGAGGTCAAGGCACTCGGTGCCTGAGGTCTCATAGCCAGGGAGGAGTGAAGCCAGAACACGAGCCAGGCAGCCTGACTCTGAGGCCAGTGCTCTGTCTGCTTCACCAGCGTGACTTATCTTGCCAGACGGTAGAACCCCAGGCCCCAGCCTAGGAGAGCCCTCAGGGAGGTGGAGGTGGAGGTGGAGGTGGGGTGAGTGCCAGGAGCACAGGTACCTTCTCATAGTACTGCAGCTCATAGTCCAGGATGACGCCGTTGGGTTGGTCGGGCTGGGACCACGACAGGGTGATGCCGTCCACGGTGCGGCTTACCTGGTGCATGATGGACACAGCCGATGGAGCTGAAAGAGAGGTCAGAGGTCAGGGCAGGCATGAGAGGGTGCGGCTTCTGGCCCAACCTCAGAGGGGAGCAAAGAGAGCTGTGAGACCAGAGAGAGAACGCATCTAACCGAGGCCACACAGCCTGGGGAGCTGACAGGGTGCAGAGGGACAAATGCAGGGCCACAGGTGCTGCTCTCATGGGGCACCTTCAGATTACAGATACCGACAACTTGGGTCATCCCTGCAGAAGCTGAAGCCTCATCAAGTCAAGAGAGATGCACTGGGCCCCTTCTCTGGCCTGGTCCTGAGTGGGATGGATGAAATGTCAATCACTCTCTCTTGCAGCTTACAGTCTACTAGACCAGGGGACATCCAGACCCTAGTCATGGTGACGGGGCTCTGGGAGAGGGAAGCAGAGAAGGTGGGAGAGTCATTCCTTCCACAAATTTGCATTGAGTGCCTACTAGGTGCCAGGGATACAGCAGGGAATAAAACTGACCCCCAAAATAAATATGTAAAAGTAAATCCACAGGCACTATGGAAAAGTGTTTGGTGGTTCCTTAAAAAGTTAAACATAGGATTACCATATGACCCAGCACTTCCACTTCTAATTATATACCCCAAAGAACTGACAACAGGTACTCAAATACTTGTACATGAATGTTTAGAGCAGCATGATTCACAGTAGCCAAAAGGTGGGAGCAACCCAAATGTCCATCTCAAAAATATGCTAAGTTAAAGACGCAAAAGATCACATATTGAGTGATCCCATTTATACGAAATATTCAGAATAGATAAATTGACAGAGACAGTAAGCCGATTGGTGGTTGCCAGGGGCTGGGGGTAGTGGGGAATGGGGCATGTCGGGTACGGGGTTTTCTCTGGGGTAATGAAAATGTTTTGGCACTAGATAGAGGTAGTAATTGCACAAGATTGTGAATGTACTAAATGCCACTGAATTATACATATTAAAATGGTTTAATTGGATGTTATGTGAATTTTACCTCAATAAAATCAATTAAATCCATCCCTCCCCTGGTGTTGCTCGTCTCCTCGTGGAAGGTGGTTAGATGAAGGGAACGGGAAGTCAGGGGTGGCTGTGTTCAGTGCTGGAAAGACTCTTAGAAATAATTTGGTCCCATCCCCTCATTTTACAGATGTGGAAACTGAGGTCCACAGAGGGGCTGTGGGCCCCGTAAAATCACACAGTGAGTTCATGGCACGCAGCCCTTTCCCTGATTCCTTATTTCACGTTGTACCCCAGCCCGTGTGTTTTGCCTTCTTCTCAAATGGAACAAACCTGCACAAAAGACCTACTGTGTTGCGTGTCAGGCACGGCCCTGGACCCTTTACACATGTGTTTCCTGAGCTGACTGTTGGTGAGGGGGCAGCGTTAGCCCCACCAGGTGAAGAACCCGATGCTCAGAGGAGCATGGGGCTTCCAGAGATCACACAGCCCCTTGGGGGGGGAGGTAGGATTTGAACCCAGGTCTGACGCTGTCCAGAGCAGTGGTCATCCCACGAGTTGGACTGGCCAGGGATGGACTTCTGACTTGGTCTCACCCTACGGCGTGACTGGGGACAGCCCCCTTGCCTCTCTGGGCATGAGGTTTTCATGGTCACAGGAGGGGCTAAGGTCACACCAGGTGAAGGAAGAGCCCCCTGCAGTCTCTCTTGGCTCCTGGGCAGGTCTGTGACAAGCAGATGCCCTGTGTTGAACAGCACAGGTGCCCACTGCCTGAGGCTGACCTTTCTCTCCACCAAATCCCACCCAAACACGCTTCTTGTTCTGTTTTTGTCCCTTCGTTCCCAGGGTGGAGGGAACAGCCTGTTGGTCAGAAGACCCAGGTTCTGCTCTCTGGCCTGCGACTAACTGGTTGTGTGACCTTAGGCAAGTGCCGCCACCTCCCCCTTCATTGCTTGCACCAGGTCTCCGAGGTCTTACAGCTCAAAGGCTCCCTGCCTGGCTTTCCCACCATGCCATTGGCCTGGAGTTGGGTCAGCTGAGCAGCCAGCGTGGGCCTGAGCAGGTCCAGGCTTCCCTTTAGCACTTCAAGGAGCTGAAGACGCCCCAGACAGAGTCGCAGCCCCCGCCAGAAGGACTTGGATCCTGGTCCAGGAGTCCCTGACAAGCTCTGCTCCTTCTGCACCCGAAGGGAGGGCTGCCTAACCCTCAGCGTGGCTCCTTGCCCTGCCAGGGGCAGCGGCCTCTTGGGAAGATCAGGGACCTGGCTCTCTGCCGTCTCCTCCGTAGTCAAACCAGCAGACTCTAACTTCCTTGTTCCCTCTCAGGGTATCAAGAGGACTCGATCCAAAGCAGCGGCCCCACGAACCACAGTTTACTGAGCACCTACTACATGCTGGGCACTGTGCTCTGCCCTTGAGCTGCATTAACCTATTTAATCCTCACCCCAACCTGTGTAGTAGACATCTTTGGGCCCCTTTTGCAGACAGTGAAGCTGAGAAACAAAGAATAAAGCACCTTGTCCTCATGCTCCATGAAGTCATTGGAAGGGCTTTAAGGGCAGTGTGCACGCACGTAATAGTACGGATAAAGCCGCTCACCTAACCTTTACGGAGCCCTTACTCTCTGCCGACCACCGTCCCAGGCTCGCTGCACCTAGTAACACAGGTGTAACAAAGAAGACTCACAACTGCCGTGTCAACTGGGGGCTATTAACACCCCCAGTTTATAGATAGGAAAACTGAGGCTTCTTGCTGCTCAGCAACCTGCTCAAGGGTCATGCAGCAAAGACAGAAGAGGGCTAGGCCTTGAGCCTGGCATCTCAGGGTTCTTCATCCGCACAGCACTGGTTCTAGGTAAATGTTCACCAGAAACGAATGAGGATAATTGCACGAGTCCTATTGGTGCCTCAGTTTCCTCTCTATAAAATGGGCCCAACAGGAATGTACCTTGGGGCCTGCTGTGAGGAGCAAATGCATTAAATGGCATCAAGTCCTCAGCGTGGCACTTGGCATGTGGTCAGTGCTGTGAGCATCCACGGGTGTCCCTGGGCCCTTGCTATTGTGCACTGAGCAGCTGACCTGTGTCAACTCATTTAATCCTCTCAGCAACAGTGTGGGCTGGGGGTTAAGATCCGCAATTTGCAGAAAAGGAAACTGAGGTTCAGAGACACACGGAGACTTCCCCAAGGTCACGCAGCTAGTGAGGAGCTGAGCTGGGCCTGGAGCCAAGTTACCCAGCCCCAGCTATGCTCCTTGCTTGCCCTCAGAGCCTTCCTACTTCCTGTCTCCTAATTCCCTGACCTCCAGCTCCAGCCCTACCTCCAGAGCCCCTTTTGTGCAAAGCTGAGCACTCTGTTCTCCTGGATGCCAGCGGCCCAGGCTCCTCTGTGAGGCCCGGGCTGTCTGACCCTCTCTCTGGCCTGTCCTCAGCTCCCTGCTGAAAACAAGAGAAGCCAGGATCCTGGAGTTGCACAGACCTGGGCCAACCTAGGAGATCCTGACCGGCCCTGCTGGCCCAGGAAGCACCACTCCTGGCCTCCCCGCAGCTTCTCAGCCCCTCTCAGCCAAGCCACAGGGCAGTGACCACTCAGGTCTGTGTGTGCGTGTGCACGTGTGCACTCTGAGAAGCTGATGAGGGTGTTTTAAACTCAGCTATCAGAGAACAGGGGGTGGGGGGGACATACCCCCTGCTTCTGCCTCCAAGTATCTGAGGATAATTTTGGTTTGAGGGGCTGGGAGGCTGTATCCAGGGCTCCTTGGAATGCTGGGATCCCTCCCCAAGGTGGGGAGGGGTGGGAGGGGCGTGCTGCCACGCCCCTCCTGCCATTGCCGATCTGTTGTATCTGTGGAGCATCAGACAGGCACTGAAACCACAAGGACGGGTGAAGCACATTCTTATGAAGCCCCTACTGTGTGCTCTTACGCACCCAGTGCTTCCTGCTTAGAACTGCAGAACACTCGGGTGAGGACTACTTCAATCCAGCCCCCGGAAAGGAAGTCCAGCTTCATGTTGGGAGCTCAGAGGGTGGAATCACACAGACAGACCTGCATGCAACTCCCCACTGCTCCACTCCCCAGCATGTGACCTTGAGCAAGGTCTCTTAATCTCTTTGAGCCTCGGTTTCCACAGCTGTCAAATGGGGCCTCCTACCTGGCAAGATGCCATAAGTATGAAAGGAGAAATGCATGTAAAGATTTGGAGCGTGGCGGCTGGCACCATCCAGAGGGAGGTATTATTAAGAATATTTCAAGAGGGTAGAATGGTGCCAGGGGCTGTGGGGAGGGGGAGATGGGGAGAGGTTGGTCAAAGGGTACAAACCCCAGCTACAAGATGACTAAGTTCTGGAGATCTATCTGAGTTCCGCAGCATGGCGACTATAATTAACAATACCGTATTGTACATTTGAAAGTTAGGAGAGTAGATCTTATATGTTATCACCACACAGAAAATGGTAATTATATGAGGGTATGAAGGTGTTAACTAACCTTATTGTAGTGATCATTTTGCAATACATATGTATTAAAAGTCACATTGTACACTTTAAACTGACACATGTTATATGTCAACCCCATGAGGCTGGTATTATTATACCCATTTTATAGATGAGGAAATGGAGGCACTGAGGTCGGAAATAACCTGCCCAAAGTCACACAGCAGGCAGTGGAGCTGGGATTTGAGCCCAGGCCCAGCCGGGTCCAACACACCCTTTCCCCTCCAGTGGCTATGGCGGATGCAGGCTGACCGGGGAGGTCTGGTAACCAGGGGACCTCAGAGGGCCTCTGAGGACACCCTGGTCCAGATCCCATTCTGTTGCTGTAAAGCTAACTCTACCCCGCTCTCGCTGACACACCGCACCCACCACCCACCCGGGCCGCCCCGGCTCGGGGAGCTCAGCTGTTGGTGGAGGCAGGTCCCACACGGCCATGGGGGTCTGGGCCTGGGGAGCTTAGCTGGCAGGCTTGGGTTACAGGCAGCTAACCCGGCTCTGATCCTGTAAGCCCCGTATCCCTGGGTGTGGCAAGGAGGCGGCATTGCTGGGAAGATGATCAAGGC